TCCCTTTCAGGCCTAGTTTTGTGTTTCAGTTGTGTAGAATTTGTTCCTTGTTTATGTATCAGTTCCTTTCCCCTTCAAGCTCCTTTTTTTCTTCTTTTTTTCTTCTTCTTCTGTCCGGAGCGACAAATTTTGGTTGAACATTTTGATTTGGCAGCTGTAAAGAATACTCATTGTTTGGGATTTCTAAAATGCCATCCGAGCTGCACCTGTTGGCCTCTTTTTTAAACTGGGCGGGCTACTTAACAAGTTTTAAGGGGCGTTAACTTTTGGCATTTTTTTGATTCAACTGGGGACTTGGCTGTATCTGTTTTGTACTGGTGGGTTAAATTCGTATAGGAAAATTTAGGTTTCAAGTTCTGTGTCACGTGGGGTCCGAGGCCTTTCTTGGGACTTTAAGGGATTTTGAAGCCTTTTTGTGCTATCTGTTTTAACGCTTCTACTCTTTGAGTACTTGTCCCCAAGAAGTTAATGACCAAATGGGCAACATCAGGGGAGAATGAATCCTGGTTTGTTCAAAAAGGAAACTATAAGTTCTGCATGTTGTGAAGAATTTTTCACAGAATATCTTCTAATTTTCTCTTTTTTCGCAATTATTTTGTTTTCATAACACGTTGAACATCCATTAATATTGTCAGTTCAGGGGTTCGTCAGTTTACTCCTAGGAACAGGACGTTGGACCTGTTGTTCTGCGTCTCGGACGTTGGGCAAGGTGCATTGGGGCTCGCTGTCTGAAAGACCTGTTTGATCATATCGTTTATTTTGGTAAATGTGTGTAACAGTAGCACAAGTCACAACCGCTTCTAACGTCCGATTATTTGTTAATTGTCGATTCTGTGTATTGATAGGGTTTCGGTTACAATGTCTTGTCTTGTTGATTGCTTATAAAATCACGGCAATGTTTTCTTATACTACTTGGTCTATTAGCTTTTCAGGTTCGACGGCTGAACGCTTTCCTTGATATAATTGGATACAGCGCACCATGGCTTATCGGGATCCGTTTTTTTATTTAGGGCTAGAACATTCTCACCTTAACTCACAAAACAATGGGCCAATTACAAGACATAGCCAATTTTTCCATTCCTTATCACAGCAGGTTTCAGCCACTACACTGTGATGGGTTTTAAGCGGGGTTTTTTTGTGTAAGACGAGCTGAATCCATGACGTTTTCTGTATCCGACTTATCCTGTCCTCGGCATTTTACGTTTACTTGATTGCATTCATAATTCTCTTTTCACTGTTTATTTTAAGAAAAAACGCTGAATTATCACTGGAGTTCACTGGTGTTCTCAGGGATCTTTCCTCTGACCTCAACATTTGAGAAACAAACTTAACTTAAGGCCTCCTCCACATTAGTTACCTATTCATTCAGACAAACGATATGATAATAATGATGAGCGGCTAGCTTTGGCCAGATATTTTTAATTGGCATTGATGATACACCTTATGTACACACAATTCTCCCTGCCAAGCAGGCTGATCCTTTACCTTGGTGAGTCTCATTTCTTTTCTGAAATAATCGATTCATCATTTATCACACCAATTTCAATTCATTAGCATGGCCATGTTTTTCTATATTCAAACTCGTCAGGGGAAACCACAAGGTAAACTGGGGTTTGGAAAAGTAGGGACCAAGAGGTATTACTAAATGCATTATCATTATCTAAAACATTAGACAGGCAGGGCTAGCCATGTTTAAAGTATAATCCATCTACAATTACAAGAGTATTACTATTAGGTTTAAAAAGATTTTAAAAAAGGTTAAAAAAATAGGATGCGCCTTTTACCACCCTCGGAACTGGGAGATTCAACTCTGTATCCTTGACCATGACACACATTTCAAAGTTTGCGAGTTCTGTTTTGATATAATCGTCCACCTCACCTAGACCACACGAGGCCTAGCTGAGGCAGCGAACAACAGCCGCTGGAGTGCACATTCGGTGTTCAAATGCTAAGCCTTTACGTAAGGGGGTTGCAGCGGTAATCCTGGTGTCTGTATTATTAACTGGTTATCTTCTTGGCAGGGGGCAAAGTTAAATAAGAGGATTTGCGGGGGGATGAGCCATTCTTTATTTTTGGCAAATGACTAAAATTATGTTTCCTTTTTTTCACTTAATCGGCTGCAGCACAACCACTTTCATCCAGTCTCAGGGAAGGAGGACACACCACGGATTCATACTGAGGCACCATTTCAACAGCTAAATTTAATTATTGTGACATAAAAATGTTTGGTGTGTGTGTGTGTGTGTGGTGCGGCAACGTCACTGGGGGTGCAATGGTTCTTATCGAAGGAGGCCCAGGCTCGTTCCTCCCATTGGATTAAGGCCCTGAACGGTAGGTCAGCCAGTTACAGGGTCAGCATTAAAGAGTCGAGGGATGAAGGAGATGGAAGACGGAGAGTCTGTAAAAGAGCAATATTACTTACTTTTTCCACATCAGCACATACCACTATACCTCACCCCATATATTACTTATATATTATATTCTACTATAATAGTATTACTACACTCACCACTCCCATTTACTTTTATCATACATATACTACTACTATATATATATATATACGTAATACTACGTACGGTATATACTATATAGCTATAATTATCTATCTATTATATATTATATACTATTATATTCTAATATATCACACACATATATATATACATTCTCACACATAGTATATATACCCAACTCTAGTATATTACTATTATATATATACAACATATATATATATACACACACCATATTATATTATTTATATTACCACTATATATATATTTATATATTATATATTATATATATATAATCCTACATACAACATACATACAATATCTATACTATACACGTATACACACATGCATATATACAAATACACACATATACACACACACACACACACACATATACAGATATACACACACACACATATACTTTTTACTCCACTACATTTATCTGACAGCTGATTTTATGTACAAAACACATGATGAACTTATAAAATATGATCACAATACATCATGTTTTATAAGTTCATGAACATAAAACATATTAAACTACCCGACAGTACATAAAATAGTTCAACTAAAGGATCCTGAGATAAACCTGAGGTGTGTCGAGGTGATTAAATGAGTTTGCAGGACTCAATTTTAAAATGTGACATCAGGTACCACAAAGTATAAACAATAGCAAACGTACGTGACGTGAAGAGGTAATACAGATGGATATGAGTACTCACTGTGGCGGCAGCTGCTGACATTCAGCAGACCCGACTGTCTACAGGGGCAGAAGCCTTCATTGGGAGCGTAGTCCGTCCCATTGGCGAAGAGGGTTTTGGGTGCAACAAATCGATACAGAGGGATCCCCTTCAACTTGCCAGGACGCTGGTAAACAAGCTCCATAGATCTGAGGAGAAACACACAGGGAAAGGGTTTTATAAGTACGCTGATTAGGACCTGTGAGAAAGAAGAAAGTACAGCCGCAGAGTAAAAACACTCGTACCTGCAGGCGTCTGGGCTGTAGAAAGGTAAAGTGCTCTCTTTGGTCATGAAAGGAGGCCACATCTGTCCAGCTGTTCCGTTGATCATGTTACACTGAGGAGTCCGCCAGTAGTTCAGCTGTTAACAGAGAGGACGGTCAGATGGGAATGAAAAACACTCGTATCATCATCAAAAGAAGCTGCAGGTGTAAAGTCTCACCTGTGTCAGGCCGTTCCAGGAGTCCACTTTATGGACGTTCCTGATGTCGTCTTGTCCGGTGAAGATGGTGAACAGACCAGTGTTGGAGTTGTTGAACTACATAAAGATAATTTAAATTAATTTGGCCCATTTTATTTTCTGTAAATATACTAACAACATCCTTCAAACCCTGTTGTTAACTTTCTTCACATGTTTCCAGTCTCCATGTCATCCCCACTGGTATAGAGGCCATAAAATCTGACTTCTAATGAGCAAAAACCGACCATTTTAAAAACAAACACTCACTTCAGCAAAGAGGCCAAACTTTCCCGATGAGGGCAGCATGCCGGGCAGGTATTTATTGAGGAAATCAACCAGTCCGCTGTCGTAACCCCACATCAGCTCCTCTACTGTCTTAGTCAGGAAGGGCCCTTCTTTGAAAGTCTTGAACGTGGCGCTGATCATTAAACGCACAGCGAAGGGCAGTTTTTCCATCATCACTGCTGCACCCTGAAAACACAGACGGGAGTTAAAAAAGCAGACAGCTGAGGGACCGAATGCGAGTTCAGGGAGGGAAAGTTATATCTTACCAGGACTAACATGTTTGGAATCGTGACAACATCGGACTCGTTCCCTGAAGACATGGATGGCTCAAAGTAGTATCTTCTGTATTCCCTGTAGGACACCGTGTTGTTGGGATGAAATGTGATGTTGTCTTTCTGGATGCGTTTCCTGAAAAAGATCACGCCTTCATTCTTCAATTGTTCAGGTAGGTTGAAAACCAAAGAGACAGGCCCGACTCCTTCACTTTTCAAAATTATAAAATATTTGAATTCAACATATTTTTGTGTAAATATGCACAGCGACCGCCCTCTAGTGGCAACTGCCAACTGTGTTTTTCAGTAATTTTTATATTCAGTTGATATTCTCCCCAAAAGAGGCTAGAATTGACCTTCAGTCAAACATAAGATAGTAAAGCTCTTTGTAGTAAAGATGCGAATCCAACATCATCTATCAAAAAGTTTCAGGTCTCTGCAGATGAACCTGAACATTAGCACTTTTTATTGTTATACTACCATTATTTGGTTATAATTATATATTATATATCTATGATTTTGTCTTTGTTCTTTGAATTCATAGCGTACCCTCTGCTTCTGAAACCACACCTACGCTTACTGGGTCCACGGACTTTGTACAGAAAACCCGACTAATGTGATAAAGTGATAAAAAGGATGAAGGCAGATAAGACAGATGATAGGGAGAGGGAATAAACCATTTCACTAATGGCTGTGAAAGTATTATTATTAGTTGAGCTCAGGGTCCAAAATTTGCTTTCTGTCAGTGGAAGAAAAAATAATATTTACCAGTTAAAAGTATTTTAACCGGCCAAGAAACTGCGTCATACATTATTTTACTATAAATATAGTTTTGAGTTGCTCTGAACCTTTTGAGCTTCATATTTTTGACAGGAACTTGGGGCTCCTTCGTCATTCAGACGCCAGCTCTGCAAAAATGTCTTACTTTAGTGACTTTTTGTATATTAAGGACCAAACAACTAATGGAGAACATGATCGATAATGATTAGTGGCAGCTCTAACAAGCAGTAAAGAAGGAGACTGATTGCTCGTAAACATCAATCTTAATGCATGATTTTAAATGTTTAAAACTCTTAATGTTTCATGAGAGCAGACAGTCCTCAAGGATACAGACAATGCACTTTGCTTTCTGTCAGAATCTGGATATACATCGATCTTAAAAGAAACAATTACCTTCTAAAATAGATCCAATAGGCATAAACATTATGGATTTCAATGGCAATTCATCAGTTAACCTTATGATGAGGCTATGACAGCAAACTGTAAGAAAAACACCACTGACCTATCTCAGAATATTAGATAGGACATGGAAGAAAAAAGCTGTCTTAACACAAAATGTGTGGACTCCTTCCTTCCAGCCGCCCCAAATACTCACTATAGAGCACCAAATCAGGGTTCACTCTCTAAGGAATCATTTTCACCGGTCAGCATATATACTTATATATTTATACCTATACCTTAACATATATTATATATATATATATATATATATATAAAAAAAAAATTTACCGGCAGGCTGAGTACTGACACATTTACCTCCAGTTTTCATGCAGTTCCTCCTACTAACAGTCGAGTTTCAAACTAAATACCCACCCAGGTTTGTGTAGGCAAGTGACATTTTCCAGGACATGTGGTGATTTTAATCAATTTCTAGGTGTTTCCATGACTAAAAAATTAGTCTCTAAATTTCCCTGTGTTTCAGTATTTCCAGGACGCGTGGGAGCCCTGCAAATGTGTATTAATCCGCTGCTGAAAATAGTCCCCAACTAACGCACTATTACCTCCTGTTTGTTTGATAAAAACTACAGCGAGCAGCTAAAAACTACATAATTGTGTGGTGTTTTTAAAGTTTGGGAGCTGAGTGCCACAAACAGGAAGTCAAAGAATTCAGAGATAAACTAACAGATAGTTGGCCTCATCTTTAACCTTTCATGTGTAATTACTTCTAAAACAATAGCAGACATTTAAGAACTCTTTTCCAGGCATTATTTGCTGCCCTTTTTTTCTCTGAATACTGGAATGAATGAATGAACTGCAGCAGTAGAGTGAGCATTACTGCGAAAAGTGACAAGCAAGCAAGAAGTTATGAATGTTTTCTCCATCCACATCGCTCTGCAGCTGTGCAAAATCTGGTCAGAATACATGGAGTAATGTACCCCAAACTCCCGCCTTGCTGCACATATGGAATAGTTACACAACAGGTTTTGGGATTCTTCCCACTAGGGCACTTGATTAACGCACAGTTGCATGCATGAAGTACATACTGTTCCCAAAAGTGGGCCAATCAAAAAGTGGGCCAATTGTCATTCTGGACAAAGTTCAAGAAGATACATTAAAAAAAAAAACAATGAAGATGATAAATGAGGAATTGGGTCAAAATACCTTAAAGTTTTAAAGATATTTGACAAGCAAAAGTAATCAAAAACAGCCACAGCAGAGAAGATGACCTGGGGATGCATCTTATGACACATTTACAGGCTGCAGGACAGAGTGTACAGTACGTACAGCGGGTTATATGTACCTGTACACGTAAGGTCCTCTCTGCTCCACCATTGGCTTCTCCCCGTTCAGGATCTCCTTCGGGTTGAGGACATGGAAGAAGTAGACGGACATGAAGAACGGCACGGGGACGTCCTTCCACATGGTGTAGGACATCTCATTCTTTGGGTCGATCACTGTGTTCTGACGTGAGATGGAGAGAAATAAAAAAAGGTTATGTTTCTTTAATAATAAGCCAGAAAATAGTGACCAAATGTCTTCTGTTTGTCCAAAACCACAAAGGATATTCAATTTACTGTCACACGTGATAAAGAAAAACACTGAATCGTCACATTTAAGAAGAAAGAACCGGGAAAAGTTTGTTATTTTTAGCTTATTTTTGTTTCAGCTCTCAAATGTATTTCTGCATCCCAAACACTGTCACGTGTATTCTGTCCTGTCCATAAACACATAGATTACATTATCTAAATTGAGTACAAACACTGTGTCCATGAACTTTAGCTCATGTCCTCAAGTAGCTTTTTTTCTTTTTGGATAAAAACATCCTTACTGAAAAAAAGGTGGATGGAAATTATAATGAGTTTTAAAGAGTATAAATACACTTAATCTGTTTTTCCAATAATCAGCTGATTGTTTAGGCTATAAAATGTCAGAAAATAGAGATTAATGCAAATCACAATTACCCAGAGGCCAGAATAATGTCTTCAAATGGTCAAAAACTAAACTAAAATATTTCATTCACAATCATATGAAACAGAAAAAGAGCAGCTTCACAATTTAACAGATTGTGTTTTTTGACAAATTGAATCATGTTTCAGCAGATTTGACTCTTTTGAATCTGATTCAAAAACGTGTAAAACAGTGACCTGATATTAAACACTTAAACATAAATACACTATTACATAACCCTTTTTTTTTTTAAACTGAGTGATGCCAGCTTAAAGTTTATAAAGGAAGCCGTCTCACAGATTGTTCTACAACTGCATACTTGTAGTCAGGCCTGGGAAATAAAACAATAAGTGCTCAATAAAATATCAATGACTTTAACGCCACCCGTCGATCAGTCATGACCTACATCTGTTACATCTCCAGCAATCCACAGGCGGTCCACGATGGAGAGCTCAGCAACAACACGACCGTATGACATTAACATCATATCACATTAAAGTGCTTAAACTCAACCTTTCTTCCACATATAGATTATTAAAAGTTATCAATAATTATCAATATTGCCTTAAATTAAACATATTTTAGTCGACAGCAAGTATTTAACAGCTTTAATGCACCTAAAAACAGAATAAACTCTCATATACTGCATACAGATTTACAATATACATTTAATTTTTTAGATTTCTTTTTATCCTTTATGGTACTTTTTTATTAATTCTTTGATCAGACTCTTCCTGATTTAAATCAAAATGTTCTTGTACGTCTGCGTGTGTTTAAACATTTAACATGTGAGACTCATTTGAGCCAAATCAGCTAACTTTATGAGGCTATTACTGCAAACATTACAGTGAACATATTGGAAAAGATTAGATAAGATTTAAAAGAAAAACTTTTTAAACACAAAACGTGAGGACACTTAATATTTAAATTTTCTTAAACTTAGTATCTCAAAATAAAGACAAACTTTCTAAATTTTTCGACTTAGTATCTCAATATTTTGAGAAAGTTTCTCACTATAAGTCATTATAATGAGAAACATTCTCAAAATATATAAATAGAGAATCTTTTTTTTTATCCTGTCACAAATGAACTTCCATACAATTATCTTAAATAGGAGCCAATATATCTAAATAGTTTTTAATGATCTTTAATTTGACATTTCTGCTCTTTCACACTGTTTTAGCACAGCTTTGAGCAGAATGCATTTAATCCTCCTCACACATTCTCCACTGTGTGCCACCCACAGCCCTCTTATTGTACAGTAACAGCAGCATATTATTGATTATTGGCTATTTGTTCTACCTCTGAAGCCCTTTCAAAGTGGACTCAGCACATTAAACACTGGTGTCCACATGCTAAAGGCTGCTTACCTTCACTATCTGGTCGTCGATGATTATCGGTCCCACAAAGGTAAGAGCAGTCCCGAAGAACACCGTGAGGACACCTGCGACTATGAACCCAATCGCGACTTTGGCTTTATTAACCGCCATAGCTCGTTATTACCGACAGTTACTGTTTGTAAGTTCGCTTGTTTATGTCAACAAAGCTGCAGGAATAAACAGAGTTAGCAGGTGAGCGAAGTGTCACCGGCTCCAGCAGTGTTTCCGCATTAACGTGTGAGGTTGTAGCTCCACAGTCTGCAGACCTGCCGGCTTTTTAAATGCCTCTAATCGATGTTGTTGACCTGCTTCTGTTGTCGCTGCTTTTTTATACTCGGCTGGGCACGCCCCCACGCGGCGCGGAGGATTTTGGGAGTTGGAGTTCCCGCAGCAGTGGAAGAGTTTGTTTTTATTCATTCATAATTATAATAATTATAATAATTGTAATAATAATAGACAAAAGTTGCAATAGTTTAATTTCTTGATTAAAATGTGATAAAAACTAAATTTACTCTGGTTTAATGAGAAGAACTCTTAATCCCAGAAACTGTGGAAAAAACTGAAATATTGGCTATAAAAACACAATTTCCTAAAATTTGCAAACCAAAATATAAAGAAATACATTTTTAAAACTTTAAATAAAATGTATCCTTCAAATGAATTCTTAAGATAAACAACAGAGCACCTCTTTTATGGAGATCTCTGCATGATTGGCTAATCTCCAAACCCCAAATATTTAAATAGATACAACAAATTAATATACAATAGCCTATATAAAATAAATAAAAAACTGATTACATTTCTTGTTAATAATATTATAAATATAACATAATACATACATAAACAAATGTTGATTCGCCAAATCAATTCCAGTGTGGCAGACATTAGAAATTAGTTCACAATATTAAATAAATGTCAATGAAGCTCAAAAATGCCAGAAAACGTGTCTGAATATGATTTATTCCAGACCCAAGACTCTGATTGTGTTGACTAAAAGTAATATTACAGGAGGAGGTGTAATCCATGATGGAAAAAGGAAAATATTTTAATGGTACAAAGTGAGTTCAGTTATCAATAAAGACAAAATTTTAAAGTTTTCATTCTTTTAACTTTTCTGTAATTTTTGCTTTTTTTGTGAAACGTTTTTTGCCACAAACAAACAATTTAACTGAAACTGTGAGTGTGGTTTTCAAAAGGAACAATATCTCCATTAATGAATCTCTCCTTTTACTGGTTTACTGGTTTTATTGCAGGAGCAGAAGGACATCCCAAAATATAAAATAAATACCTCAAAGAATGAGCTCAATTAATTACCTGGTTATTAACTCTATCAATAAAGTTAATTAATGTAATTAATTTATCAAAAACTGAAAGGAAACAGCAGATTTCAAACGATGACAAACCTTTATTATCTGGTCGTGCATCACCGACGGTCCCACAACCAGAAGAACGGCTCCAAAAACCACCGTCAGAATCCCCGCCACTATACATCCAACAGCTGCTTTGGCTTTATTGATGGCCATGGCTGCTGTTAGTGTTTGCCTGAGTGGGAAATATGATTTCCAGTTGCCTCTGAGTCCGCAGAGCCAACAAGCTGCAATGGTTAGTATTTTAAAGTCCAGGAGCCATGAGCAGTGGTAGACTCAGGAGGAGGAGGCTGCAGTCGGGCTGGCTGTGTTTATACCCCGCAGACCTCCGTCCCCTCCTCACAGCTAGGGGTGTGTACACATGTTCTCCTCTTTCATCCCACATTCATACTAAATCATAGAAAGTCACGTTGTAGTCAGATGATTTGACACTTCGGCAGCAGTGAAGTTCAACACAAATCAGACTGACGTGCTCATATGGTTTTACTTAATGTCTTAATAGTGGATTCAGACATGAAACAATAAACTAAAATGAAAATTTAAAACTAAAACTTAATATTTTGGGGGGTTCATGTGGGCAGAAAAGGGAATTCGGTTTTCTTTTAATATAATATCAGTGTTTCTTTTTGTTCCTACAGTGTGTTTGAATGACGTATGTGCAGAGTTTGATGCTGGAAGGATGTGTGGTAGATGAAAATGTTGGATGGGTGGTTGATTTAATTAATGGCAGGGGATGACTGGTCAGCAGATGGTCACAGACATCAGTCAGTAGTTCACAGGACTATTTCTGTGAGAGACCTCACACCCATATGTGGACTTTTAACATATAGGACAATAGAGGTGTTTCTGTTTTAATGATGTACTGGATGGTATATAAGGCAGTGGATTCTAGAAGTCAGGAGAGAACTTCTATGCTGGTGAGGTTTAAAGGAGCATTTATTGCCAGAAATGTAATATAATATCCATCGGTATGTTTTCATTTAAAAGATTTATTTTTAGTGTATAATCACCTGAAAATAAGAATAATTGTATATATAGCCTATGTATAAATAATTTTGCTACCTCAGAATGAGACGTTTTTATCGCCAGAGGATGCGGGACCTCTTCTGGCGGAGTCCGCCATGTTTCTACAGTAGCAGTAAGATTCAAATACTTTCTCTTCGGACCATTAAATAAAGGATATGGATACTTCTTTCACCATTGACCTGCTCAAAGAAACAAAAAGTAGAAAAATTACAAGACAAAGGAGGTGACATAGTTTAGTGATTAGGAGGACTGGGGGGAGGGTGTGTGGTTGTCTCTCTTTGTTTTGTAGCCTTGTTTGACCCTTAAGAAAAGAAAGCCTTCAAAGCATCAGGTGTCCCAGAGATGACCCCCTTGATGCCAACTATCCATTAGCAATGGTTGTCATGGTGCCTAAAAGCCACGCCTAAATAGTCAGCACAATTTTATTTTGAAGGGCCTGCAGGCATTTGACAGTGGGTTATCATGAAGTTGTTTTTTTGCAGTTGAATCCAACACATTTCCGCCTATTGTTTTCATCAGATAACAATTTGACGTGTTATGCATGACTTTAAAGTAAATGAAGGCTGTGGTTTCCGCCGTGTGTTTTTTTCCCCCGAACCTTCAACACTGTGCCAAAATGCTGCTTTGAACAAACACTTCATAAATTATATGAATAATACATAGAAGTGTGGTATCAATTTTCTCGTCGAACTTTCGGCAAGAAAGCAAATAAGCTGATTTATTATAATATTAAACTATTTCTTTAAATCTGATTACTGACCATGTAAGTCAACTTTTTAGGGTTCATTTAAACGACATTAGTTAGGTGTGATCTCTAAGTGCACCATACCGCGCAGTACTTTCACGGTACAGTACCATGAAGGGTGAGACAAAGAGGATGGAGCAGAGGAAACGGTGTGGACGGTGTCTAATCTTGGAGCTAAATGGAGGAAACAGGATTGGGCCGTGTATGTGATTCAGGTAAAAAATGAGTCCCAGGTTGTTGACCGTAAACATGAAACTGTATTGGAGAGGAACACAAGGTCGCTTTTGATAGCACGGGTCATGTCTGCGGAGGCAAATTAAAAGAAGCTATAACTTTTTATGTTTTCTCTCTTGTCATTGAAGAGAAACTTTTATTTTAGACATGAGGATCATTTTCGCTGTTCTATGTAACCTGTAAAAACAGTTGTATAACACCTTCTGTGGTGGCTTCGTGCAACGCCTGCAAATCACCAAAAATTACTTCTAAATTCAAAATATCTGACGTCCGGTTGGATTTGGGTCCAAGAAGTTTTTTTGTTTGTCTGGTCATGATATTTTTTTGTATTTTTATACATGCGTCGATGATGCTCCGTTGAATTTTGTGCCACGTTTTATGAGTTTTCGAGCATGTTACAGCTGTCAAAAATGCAATTTGGCTGAATAATAATAATAATTCCTTTCACTTCAATAGAGCTTTGCAGTGGTCGCTGCTCAGGCTCTTATAACAGATAAAGATAAAGCTGATGAGACTGCCAAAAAACAAAGTGTTATATAAATTAAAATGCTGACCCTGAGGATGGAAGATTAAAGAGACTGCAGTTCATCCTGAGGGGGAAATAAATATGTGTCATAACTTTCATGGCAATCCGTTTTATGGTTCTTGACTCAAAAACCACAAATGTTACTTCATAGTGGCGTAAAGATGATCGCTAAGTCATAAGGCGCATCGTCTGGGATCCATTAATGTCTGCACAAAATTTCACAGCAATCCATCCAACACTGTAAAACTGGATACGTTCGTTTAACAAAAAAATACTCAATTCAGTTGTTTAGGTTAAAAAAGATTTTGCTTTTACTTGTAATTTTAAGTGGCACTAACTGATTAATAACTTTTTACTCGTATTTTGTTTTCACAGTACAAATAAAAATAAATAATTGAGTTTCTGTTACTTAAAAATTCTTCATCAGTTTTAACAATTCTTTGAGTTATATTCACTTATCTGGTTTAACAGTGATCAGATGTGTCAGTCTCGACCAAAGCGGTGGACCGACCGACAGCCTGATGGCTCGATCACGTGGAGCCTCCTTCGTATGAAGCGATCACATTGTACAGTAGCATTTAGCCTGAGCGTTGCTAATAGCACATATATGTAATCACGTACTCTGAACGTAATTTTCAGTCAAACCAAACATTTTCCTGCTGGTTAAAGTGTATAAAGATGTCTCTTTGTGGAATTATTAAAACGTATCTAGACCTGGCTCCGGGAAATAAAACATTCAAACCCCTAACCGCTGATTGTGTCCAATGCCTCGCATATATTTATTCATGGACTTGGTGAATTTGGGCAATAAAGAGGTCCTCTCTTACCGATCATACACATGATCGCTTCATACCCATTAGAGGGACATAAGGCCACAGAGCAGCAGCCCACCACAGCCCCTCATCTGACTGCTCTGTGAAATCTCCCGTCCTCAGATCGTTTCAAGCTTTAAAAGCGAATGTTTGTGCTCCTGAGATTTTCCTCACATGCCTTCCTTCCTAAATGCTGATGGTGGCATTTAATAAATAGGAAGTCTCAACCAAAAGGCCTTGAGCTTCCCCTTGTACTGAACGCCTTTCACACATCAGTCACGACATCATCATGTGTTTCCAATCTGATGTATATGTGTCATCGGTCTAAAAGTCTACCTTTAACACACTGAGTCGCTCGTTATCCATGTTGATGGACAACAAAACACAAAGATTTTCTGTCACGCTGCTTAGAGAATGAAACATGTCCTGATCCTTTGTGACCCCTTAAAATGAAGCAATATCTACTTGTGACTCCTCATCATAGGTTAGGGCAGCGGGACTCCAACGTGGTGCCCTCGTAGACTGTGTCAGTGTGACAGTGGGTTGTTTGGGATCACCAGCAGAAGAAGGAATAGAATATTTGAACTTTTATTAAATATTTTTTGTAAGTTGGAACAATAAGG